TTGTTTGGCGGGTCCGGGCTGGGGATTCGAACCCACCACCTTAGGTGTACGTGGCTGGCGCCTTAGCCAGTTGAGCTATAGGCGCTGAGCCGACAATTTAGTTTCAATAATAAAAGTGTAACTTTATTATTCCTCCTGAACTGTCAGAATTTCTCTAGAGTGATCACAGCCAAGCATGTAACACAGGAAAGGGATGATGTGTATATGCATACCAAGTCCCAGCACGGTGGGTCCAATAAATGTTAGTTTTTGATTCCCATAAGAAAGTTACTATGTCAACTCTCCTCTCTTCAAGGTCTGTCTAAATATTATAAACAGGGGCCAGTGGGTACAATAATTGAAAAGAAATGTCTGGCTGGGGGTGGTGGCTCATGCCTGTAATCCTAGCACTCTGGGAGGCCAAGGTGGGTGGATCATCTGAGCTCAGGAGTTTGAGAACAGCATGAGCAAGAATGAGACCCCCATCTCTAAAAAACAGCTGGGTATTGTGGCAGGCACCTATAGTTCCAGCTACTTGGGAGGCTGAGGCAAGAGGATCACCTGAGCCCAGGCATTTGAGGTTGCTGTGAGCTATGAAGCCATACCACTCTACCAAAGGTGACAGAGCTAGACTGTCTAAATAAATAAATAAGTAGGGTGGCACCTGTGGCTCAAAGGAGTAGGGCGCCGGCCCCATATACCAGAGGTGGCAAATTCAAACCCGGCCCAGGTCAAAAACTGCAAATAAAGAAATAAAATCTCCTTCATACCTTCTAGCAGATCTCTGACCCTTGTTTTTATTCCAAACTTACCCAGAAATACTCTTCAAAATACTCCCTGTAACTCAGATTCCTCAGGGCCTTGAGAATTTGTATCTATTTACAGGCAATGGCCAAGAAGTAAGGTAGAAGGGGGTAGGGCACCCCTGCCCCCCCACATACACTCAGGCTGGAGAGTTCGAACCTGGCCCTGGGCCAGCTAAACAATGACAACTGCAACAAAAAATCCCAGCCGTGGCTCGGCGCCTATGGCTCAACGCCTATGGCTCAACTGGCTAAGGCACCAGCCACATACACCTAAGGTGGCGGGTTCGAATCCCCAGCCCAGACCACCAAACAACAATGACGGCTGCAACCAAAAAATAGCCGGGCCTTTTGGCGGGCACCTGTGGTCCCAGCTACTTGGGAGGCGGAGGCAGGAGACTCGCTTGAGCCCAGGAGTTGGAGGTTGCTGTGAGC